TGGCCTGTGGCTTTTCAGGAATGTCCCCAGGTTCCCTGAGAACCTCTAGATATGGGCACTTGCTCGCTAAGCTGGATCTTCCTCGGTTGGCTGCAGCTGTTCAAGCTGCCAGGTCGGGCGAGGGCCAAGTCAGACACAGTCAAATAACCCAGAGCCTTTTCTAAAGCTCCTCCCTGTAGTCCCTTTGATGGCTGTGGATGAGAATACTGGAGCTGGGGAGGCTGGGGACTGTGCTGTCCCCTTCCTGATGGCTGCCTCCCCCTAGGGAACCACTTGCAGAGGCACCACAGGAGCTGAGACCAGGTCAACAGGGGACAGCCATGCCCACTGTCTACTGGGCTGATTATCTGGAAGGCCTGGGGGCTCTTCCTAGCTTAGCAGGAGACAATTTTTGACCCTGAGATAGGGTGAGGAGGCAGAGCTAGGGAGTCCTAGAGCTGGGCCACAGGATCCCCCAGTGGACAGTGCCTCCTGCCAGATATCCTCGTGGCTAGGCTGGCTGACACTTGCCCCACCTCGTGCTATCGTGGTCTAAGAGCACTGTAGTTTGTGGGTTCCTGCCCCTTCCTGCTCCTTCTCCTGTCGCCCTCTGTGGGAATATCCCCAGTGACTCTGTCTTGTGTGAGTTCCCACCATGCTGGCAGGAATGTGTGGCCTAGAAATAGAACATCCTGCACAGCACCACCAAGTCTGGCCTTTGTGGGATTTTGGGTGCAGTGGTTGAGGGCACAAGTTCCTGTGTTCTGCCCTGGGACCTGTCTCAACCTCACAGGCAGCCTTAGGCTTTGCTGAGTAGGGCTGGTCCTCCAGCTGCCGCTCCTGTGGTCCTGAGTGTCTTCCCGCAGTCTCCTTGGTCTCTGTGGGCTCTGAAGAGTGTCAGGGCACACGATCTTTTGGCGATGCTCTGGCTCCCCCTTCTAAATACACAGAGAATCACAGAGAGGTTAAGTGTCTTTCCTGCAGTCGCACAGGTCTGTGGTTGGTTGGCCAGAAGTGTGGGTGTGGCCTGTCCTGGGTCCACCTCCCTTGGATGAGTGATTCCCTGTGGCTCTGCCTCCCTAGAATGACAGGTCGAAGATCTGTGGAACTCTGTTGTAGGCTTGTAGGCTGAAGCCCAGATAGAGGAGTAGCTTCCCTAGGCACACAGCAGGTTAACATTTAGTTCAGAGTCACCAAGGGGCCTCCTGATGCCCTACGGCAGCCATTGGATACTGGTGATAGATTCCAGCAGGCAGCTAAGATTTAGAACCCGTGGAAGACAAACCTTTAGGAACGCCTGCAAGGCCTGCAAGGGATTATTATCTTCATTAAGCCAACTGAGGCATGAAGACCCAACTCAAATGTGAGCCATCATCCTATGGGCTGCCATCCTGGGTAAAACAGAGAAAGCTAATCCCCTCACCCTACCGCAACATTTGTTTTTCTCTGCTCCCTGAACCCCAACATTTGTTTCTCTCTGCCTCCCGATGTCAGATACACTGTATCCAGCCGCCTCTGCTCTTGCCACAGTATCTTTCCTGAGAGGACACCACCTTCAGACTGGGGGTCACAACATTTTCTCCCTTAAATTGCTTATTATTTTGGAGGGGGGGGGACTCAGGTGTTTTGTGAAAGCGCTGGGAATGCAGACCGCACAGGCTGTGAAGGCAGGCATGGGTGCAGAGGCCAGGGCCTTGGGGTGGGTTCCTCACCAGGGCTTCCAGGGAGGGGTCCAGCTTCCTACACGCAGAGTCTGTAAAGAGGGAGAGTTTTGAACTATCTGACTGTTTCCAGACTAGGGTGGCCTGAGGGAAAGGCTGAGATCTGACCCAGTCATTCTGAACCTGGTCCCCCCTGCATAGTGATGGGGCACATATCTCCCTGGAGGCCACTCCTCTGCGACAGCTCAAATGGGATGGAGATAGCAATAATTCCCAAGGGGGCTGAGCTGTCAGAGATGGTTCATGTTTCTGGGGAACCTGTCCTGATGCTCAGAGTGCCCACAGAAACAGGAAATCTTAACAGAGGTTGCATATTTTCTGGCTACCTGGGAGTTAGTTGGCCAGGGCCACCCGGCTCAGGCCCAACCCCATTAGGCTGGGGGTAGCTGTCTTGAAGTTTTAGGCACAGGGGGCTTTCCTTGGCTGCCTGGGGCATCTCCACATGGCGGTACATCCCAGTCCTTGAGAACATAGTTCAGCCCTTCCCCATCTGCTCTGCAGTTACTCAGGTACCCTATTCTTTCCATTGCTCCAGATTCTTCCTCCAGGAAGCCTCCTGGGCTTGTCCTAGCCTTAGAGTGCAGGGAGAACTCATTTTGAGGGCTCACTGTAGAGGTCAAGTAAAAGGGCTGCATGGAGCAGCCGAGGGGAAAAAAACTCTGGGAAGGCAGCATCAGGCTCAGCTGGGGAGTTCTGTGCTTGATTAGTGATGTCTGCCAGGGTCAGGTTGGAAGATGGACTGTGGGCTTGCTCGCTTTTATTTTTGGTGTGTAACATGTATATGGTGTACAGGTGCTTGTGGACTAAAGGACATCCTCAGGTGTCATTTCTTTCTTTTCTTTTTAAGAGTTATTTATTTATTTATTTAGTGTACAGTGTTCTGCCTACATACCAGAAGAGGTAACCAGATCTCACTATGGATGGTTGTGGTTTCTGGGAATTGAACTCAGGACCTCCCAAAGAGCAGTCAGGGTTCTTACCCTCTGAGCCCTCAGGTGTCACTTCTTAAACAGGGTCTCTGAGTGGCTTAGAGCTTACCAAAATAGGCTAGATCAGCTGACCAGTGAGCCACAGGGATCCCCCTGTCTCTGCGTTCTAGTTCTAGAACTCCAAATATGCAGCACCATATCTACCATTGTTTAATGTGGGTTCTGGGGACTGAATTCAGGCCCTCATTCTTGCAAAGCAGACAACCCTCTTGTTCCTTTCTTCAGCTCTGTCTATAGGACGAAAGCCACCGGATGGCACTGCCACGCTACCTCCTGCTTCCTATTCCTCCTAGGTGTTCAGACTGGGTCTACTCTGGGCCAGGTGGAGGGTGGAGGGGAAAACATCACTTCACTAAGCCCAGGAAACTGAGCGACAGTTTCAGAGGAGTGTCTTTCCTCACATCCCAGGGCATGCTGGGAAGGCTTTGCAGGTGGCAGGTAGCTTCCCTGGCCTCGGGTGTATTGCAGCCCAGGTGGCAAGTGGCTCCAGGCCATCCATCAGTCCCTCAGTTCTCTGGGCTTCACCTCTGAGAACATCCTAACACACTTAGTTCACAGCCATAAAGGACACTCTGTTGCTAGTTCCGTTTTCCATGTGGGAACTGGAAGGAGCTCCTGCTCATTGACTGGTGTGGCACCCTGCAAGTTGGCGGTGGCTGTGGCAGCTCTCACAGTTCTTGGGTCTGTCAAGGAGGTCCCCAAGAGTGACCAAGCTCGAAAGCCACATACAGTTCTGGATTCTGAGCTCTTCATGACCCAGAACCTCCCCTGATGGTTGAACTTCTTAGCAGCTGCCCCCACCACACTCCTGGACCTCAGCATTGAGGGGGAGCTGTGACCACTTGTCTGTTCAGGCTTTTCTTGGGGCTCCACCCTGCCTAGGCCCTCAGACACTGGAGAGACCTGGCAGGATCCCGTTAGCTGCTGGACCAGCCTGGGAGGAAGGGCAAGCCTTTCTTTTCCATTAGATGGGACACTTTGGTGTCTCGCCCATCCTGTGAGATATGTACCAGAAGCAAGGCTCAGTGCCAGGGAGGCCAGGGCACAGGCCCGAGGCAAGGACATGCTCAGCTTGGCCACTGATGAGTAAACCTTGTGACCATTGCCCCTTTCAGAGCCCCAGCCTCTTCATCTCCGAATTGAGAGAGATCCAGGTGGCTGAAGTCTTGTCTAGTTTCTCACTATGTCTTTCATAATTTCTCATCATGGTCTAGATGACCGATAGCAGAGCCATTCTTTTTTTTTTTAAATATTTATTTATTTATTATGTATACAATATTCTGTCTGTATGCCTGAAGGCCAGAAGAGGGCACCAGACCTCTTTACAGATGGCTGTGAGCCACCATGTGGTTGCTGGGAATTGAACTCAGGACCTTTGGAAGAACAGGCAATGCTCTTAACCATTGAGCCATCTCTCCAGCCCCAGCAGAGCCATTCTGGTAGCCACATTGTGGGCTCGGAGTGACCCGAAGAAGGCAAAAAGATCGTGGAGGCCCCTGACACCCACCCTGCCTCTGCATGGTCCCCCCCACTAATCTCCATCTCCTCTCAGCCGCTCCTAGTCCCTTCCGCTCTCCTGTGGCTGCTCTTAATTTGGTCGTCCGCCCAGCATGGGTGCGCTGTAAAACGCTGGCCCTCAGCCAGGTTTGCGTGGTGTTTTATTGATTTCATTAAGTAAGGCTGTAAGCAGGGCCCCCACCTGCGTGAGGGGCTGGGCTGAGTATCCACAGGGCAGCCGGTTGGCATTAAAGACCCAAGAAGGCTCCGCGCTGGATGCAGGGCAGCCTGTTTGGGGCAGGCGACTCAAGCGACCTTCACCTCCATCTCTCTTGTGTTCTACAGAGGCGCTGCCACAGCTCCAGTGACATTGTAATCACAGCTTAGCACCTCGGACATGGGCCAAGGCTGCCCCCCTCCTGCCCCTGTCTGTGGCTAGCTTTGTCTGACAGCTTAGGTGCCCTGGTGGAGGCAGGAGTGACTTTAGGTGACCTCTGAACTCCTACCCAACCTCTGACCTGGGAGACGGAGGTTGGTTACTGGTGTGACTTAGCCTCAAGGACTCCCCCCACATCTCAACTGCCCAAGGGACATGTGGTAATTTGAATAAGAATGGCCCCTATAAGTACAGGGATCTAAAGACTTAGGGAGTGGCATTATTTGAAAGGATTAGGAGGTGTGGCCTTGTTGGGGTAGGTGTGGCTTTGTTGGGGTAGGTGGGGCCTTCTTGGAGGAAGTGTGTCATTGGTGACGGGCTTTGAGCTTGCAAAAGCCCATGCCAGGCCCAATGTCTCTCTCTTTCTGATGCCTGCAGATCTCATCTGTGTCTCCAGTACCATGTGTGCCTGTTGCTGCCATGTTTCCCACCATGGTGATACTGGACTAAACCTCTGAAACTGTTAGTCAGCCCCAACTAAATGCTTTCTTTGGTAAGAGTTCTTGTGGTCCTGGTGTCTCTTTGCAGCGATAGAACAATGGTTAAGACAGTGTGTCTTTCTGGACTTGAGTTCAGGGGGCTGGAGTCTGCTTAGGATATCTTGTGTTCGGGCTCCAGGTTGTCATCTTTCCATATTATAATATGGAGACTCTTGGGCCACTAGGGGGCTGGACAGCCTTCTCACATCACAGGGCATCTCGTCTGTGGGCTTCTGCCAAACATGAAGTATCACCCCCACACCCCAGAGATGAGCGGCAGTTCACAGAGGCTATGTGATGGGCCTCGGGTCACCATTTCAGGCACAGCTTAATTTGAGCCCAGCCAGTCCCAGGAGGGGTGCCCACGATGGATCTCCCCTGGCATCCCTCTGCCCACCTCTGCATCTGCTCTTCTTCCAAGAACTCAAAAATAAGGTTGCCAGGGGGATAGTAGGGCCCTGGGGATGGAGATGCAGGTGGCAGTAACTGGCTGGCTCCTTTGGAGAAGAAGTTGGAGGACGCTGGAATCGATTTCTTTTTCGCAGGGACGGGTGGAGGACTGCAGAGGGGCTTCTTTGTACAAGTGAAGTGTGGGCCGGAGATATGCCTGGATAACTCAGAACCTGATGGCTGCTGACAGGATCTAGAAATCCACTGCCCAGATGAGAGCAAGCAGGCTCCAGGTTACATGGTTGGGAGGAGCATGTCCTTCACCGGTCATTTCCTCTCGCTCCCATTGGGTAAGTGCCGATGAGTGGGATTGCCGGATCACACCTAGTTCATGTACTAAGCTTCAACCACTATTGCCTACTGGTTTCGCTCCCATCAGCAGTGCAGGGGAGTTCCCCTTGCTCTATGTACCCCTGCCAGCACTCGGAAGTAGCTCAGTGGCTTTAGCTGTTTCCTTGGCTTTCCATGGTGCCGAGAGCACTTATTAGATAACTGTACTGTCCTATGTCGAGAGTCCCCACAGATCCTACTAGAGTCAGATTTTTCCCTTGATCTCTCTCTAACTCTCTCTCTCTCTCTCTCTCTCTCTCTCTCTCTCTCTCTCTCTCTCTCTCTCTCCTCTCTCACCTCTCTCTCTATCTCTGTCTCTGTCTCTATCTCTATCTCTGTCTCTAGACTGCCTCAGGTGAAGTATCAGAGGGTGACTTTCAACTTCTGATTCCCTGACCTCGCCTCCCTCCCAAGTGCTGGAATGATAGGCATATGCCACCAAGCCCCAAGGCTGTCCTTGGTAATCCTCCTGTCTCAACATCCCAACCGCTCGATTTCAGACGTGCTTTTCAATCTTTATCTCCTTCTCGCAGGCTCCCCGCCTTGGCTAAAGGCTCCCTGAATTCTGAACATGGAGTGTCTTAAGTCAGGGGGACCTTTTCTGGAAGCCCTAGTGATGGACAGTTCTCGAGCAGAGGGGAAGACCAAGAAGGCAGCACACATTTCTGGGACAGCCCCGGGTTTAGTCCTGACCAGTTTGCAGTGTGATATGTGCTCTCAGGCAAACCTCACCCCCTTGCCCTGCCTCAGTTTCCCTTCTGTGACACAGAAGAAGGAAGCTTCCTTCCCCTCCATCTCACTGGGTAGTCGTAAAAGTAAATGAAGATCGGGCTCATGCCTATCCCAGCACTCAGAGGGCAGATCTCTATGAATGGAGGCCAGCTTGGGCTACATAGTGAAACCCTGTCTCAAAAACAAAACAGTCTGCACCTCAGGAATCATTGCAGGAGAAGGGGTGGGAGATAGTAAGAGCAAATGGATCAGCCACTTCGCTGGGAGATTGTGTCTCCTAGTAATGTCAGAAGCTACAGCCCTAAGTTCTCACCAACACGACTGCCAAAACACGAGCTGAAGAACAAACAATAGACATGCCAGACACACATATGACTAACATTACACAGACTGAGCAGGCTGTATTTATGTTTTTAGGAATATATATCTGTACCCACGCGCACACACACATCCGGCAACAATTAATGAAAAAGAATCTATGCATTTAAAAGAGCAAGGAGGGCCATATGGGAGGGCTTGGAGGGAGGAAAGGGAAGGGAGAAGTGATATAATTATGTTATAATCTCAAAAAAAAACAACCAAAATAAACAGTTAAACAAGCATGGTGGTGAACAAGCATTTAATCCCAATGCTTGGAGGTAGAGGCAGGTGGATCTCTGTGAATTTGAAGCTAGTCATGATGACATAGGGAGACCTTTGTCTTAAAAAATAAAACAAACAAAACAAAAATAAAATAAAATAAAAAATAAAATAAAAAATAAAACAAATAAAAAATAAACAAAAAAAAACCCGAAAACAAAACAGGAGTAAACAGATGTCAGATGAGAGAGTGGCCCACAGATGATAGCCCAGAAGCTACTACTGGTCTCTTGCAGGCCCTGCCCATGTGTGAGGGCACCCTCAGTCCTACCTGTTCCCCTGATGCCCTGGCTGGGAAAGGCAGCTGGGAGAAGACACTGAGCATGCTCAGAGGGAGCATGACAGGGAACCTGGGCTGGGATTAACCCCAGCAGAGTGCAGCAGGCAGCTGTAAATTCTTTCTTGGTCTTTCCCGAATGTCCAAAACATTGTGCAAGTACACTTAATTTGTTTATGGAAGTGGACTTGACAGCCAGCCCTTGAAGGCATTTGCAGAGAGTGGTGTCATCTTTTCCTGTGTGTCATACATGGCCACATGCTTGCCACCGCCAGCATCCTCACATATGCAAAGTCTGCCTGCCTTCCCTCCCTTCCTCCCAGTGTGGCTTTGAACTCATGGCCGTCCTGCTCCAGTCTCTACTGCTGAGATTATAGGCACATGCCACCATATTTAGTGTATGTATTTGGCACTGACCTCTGTGTTCTAGGCTATCTTGGGTTAACAAATACTCCAAGTTCTGAGATGCCCATGCTGCTGCGCTAGCCTGAATTCATGCATGCTGGGGAATATGATTTTCAGGTGTTACTTTTGTTTTACGCTGTATTTGTTTAACTGTGAAGCTGTGTTACTGTGCCTGTCTAAAACACCCGGTGGTCTAATAAAGAGCTGAATGGCCAATAGTGAGGCAGGAGCAAGGATAGGTGGGGCTGGCAAGCAGAGCGGATAAAGATGAGGAAAATCTGGGAGAAAGGATCTGAGAACGAGAGAAAAGGAGGAGAGCTTCAGGGGCCAGCCACCCAGCTACCCAGTCAGAAGGGAAGTGAGAAGGAAAGAAAAGGTATACAGAAGTGGAGAAAAATAAAAGCCCCAAGGCCAAAGACAGATGGGATAAGTTAAGAAAAGCTGGTGAGAAACAAGCCAAGCTAAGACCAGGCCTCTGTGTGTGATTTATTTGGGAGCTGGGTGGTGGGTCCCCTCAAAAGCCAAAGAGTAAAGAGTAAAAAACAACCAGTAACACAAATGTGTTTGGGGTACAGTGTGAGTTCAGGCCAACCTGGGCTAACCTACTTGTGAGTATAGCCTATGGGTCTGGGTTTTTCTGAGGACTTTCTTGGGCTAATGAGCAGGACCTGGGGGGCATCTTCATTACAGAGAAAGATGTAGTGGGGGGCAGAGCTCAGACCCCAGTGACTCTAGTATATATGTATATATATTACATATAATATAAAATATACACACACTACACATGTGCGCGTGCACACACACACATGTATGTTTGGAGAAAGGGTTTCCTGTATTCCAGGCTGGCTCTAATTTTCTGTCTAGCCAAGGGTTTCTGACCTTTTTTCCACCTCCCCGATACTGGGATTAGAGGCATGTGTCACCATGCTTGGTACCTTCTAGCTCTTTAATGGTGGGAAAGAAGCCTCAGTTTTCCTTTTGCTAAATGGGAACAAACAGATGAGTAACAAACAGGGGACTCCTTGGAGAGTGAGCACCTGGGAGGCAGGAGGTTGGCTATGTGGAAAGGCATCCCCAGCTCTTACCAGGCTAGCGAGGAAGGCAATGGATGGCATACAATGGGACCATTGTGGCTTCTGGGAGGAGCATAAAAGAACACCTGCCCTTCCTGCTTCCTCCCTTGGAAGGCTATGAGGCCCTAGGTGGAGGGCTGGCTCAGTGCCAGCCTTCCCAGGTCCTCTCTGGCAGGCCTGGCAGCTGACTACCTGTCTTCTGAAGAGATGGAGGCAACTGAGGCTCGTTAGGGGGAGGGGAAGAATTCCAGGTGTCCCCAGCTCAGATGCCAGAGTGTTCTGTAGGATATCACCTCTGTGTCCTATCTCCTGCCACCTCCCAGCCCCTAAAGACCTCTGCTCTCTGGCTTCCTAAGTTCTGTGTGATCTCCTGGGAAGACTTCAGTTGTGTGTGTGTGTGTGTGTGTGTGTGTGTGTAGAGCAGGGCTGCAGCAACCTTGGTGTCGTTGTGAAGCCATCTTCCTGTTGGGCCTCTGCGACCCTCAGTGCCCTCCTCCTGAACCTGTCTGAGGATGGGTACAGCCAGGCAAACATGGTCCTTTCCTCCGACAAAGTGTACCTGACGCTCCCCATGTCCTTTTGGGGAGCCTTCTCAGATTTCCCTCCAGGGAGCTGTAGGTTCCCTTGGGATCCCTCCTGGAAACCGCTTCCTGGGAGCTCCCGAGGCCTCCCCCCAATGAGAGGTGGGATGGCCCCCTCTGGAACAGCAGGACCGCTGAGGTTCTTCATGAAGCCTTTGCTTCTGTGTTGGTCAGCTCTGCCATCATGACCATTGCACAGAACCTGTTGCCCTGAGCGGGCTGCCTGAAGTTCCTCCCTGGCTGGGGACTCTGGGAAAGAAGACACTCTCAGCCTCAGTCCTTGACTCCCGAGGAAGGGGCCAGAGCGTCCCATCCTCTCCTACCTTCCAGGTCCTTCCAGGTCCAGGGCTTTCCCTTCACCAGCCCCTGTGGCTCTTGGGATGAACTAGATCGTGGTCACGTCCTTCAAGGCCGTGTTTGTTGTAGAATATTATCTTAAGGTGTGTTACATTTGTTTATGCTCTGGGGCATTTAATTGTTTAGCAATGTAAAGATGTGTTGCTTTTTTTTTTTTTAATGCTGCATTTGTTTAACTCTGAAGCGTGATTCTTTGCCTGTCTAAAACACCTGATGGGCTAATAAGAAGCTGACTGGCCAATAGCCAGGCAGGAGTGAGGATAGGCGGGGCTAGCAGGCAGAGTATAAATGGAAGGAGAAATCTGGAAGAAAGAGGAAGAAGCAAGAGAGAACAAAGAGAAAAGGACAATAAGGGCCAGCCACCCAGTTAAACAGGCAGCTGGGGAGTAAGAATGGAAGAAAGGTTTACAGAAACAGAGAAAGATAAAAGCCCAGAGGTAAAAGGTGGATGGGATCATTTAAGATAAGAAAAACTAGCTAGAAATAAGCAAGCAAAGGACGGGAATTTATTAGAATAAGACTGTGTGTGTGTGTGTGTGTGTGTGTGTGTGTGTGTGTGTGTGATTTATTTGGGTGCTGGGTGGTGGGCCCCCAAAGAGTAAGAACAAAGAGTAAATAAAATAATACATGTTAATCCCCCTAGTGATCCCAGCCTCTTGGGGGCCCAGTGATGGGCTCGCCTGTGTCTTTTTCCTCCTAGAGACTCCTTCCCTCTGAGTGTCCCCTTCTTCACCCAGGAAAGTCTTCTTGGAGAGCTCAGATGAAGGGCTCTCCTCCCTGGGGTGGCCCTCTGTGGCCTTAGAATGTGGTAGTTCCTCTTTCTGTCTTCTGTCTGAGGCTGCTGACTCAGTCCAGCAGTGATGAGCGTTGACGCCTACTGTTTAATATCAGCTTCC